TAGTATAATTATTATGATTCTTAATGTGAGTGTGCGTGTGTGTGTGTGTGCATTCGAATGATCGGCAGCGACCGCATTTTTCTTTGGCCATTTTCCTTTTGGCCATTTGCATTTGTTGCCGCTGCTTTTTTTTATTGCAGTTGTTGCATGCACAATTCGTGCCTCCGTTTTGTCTATTTGCTGCTTTATCTATGTGTACACTGGGAGAACAAATTGAGCTGTTCTATGAACAATTTCAATGCCCAAAAATATTAAATATTTTTACTATTTATTTATTTTGTTTCAATAAAAGAAAAAAATTTATATTTAAGCCAAACCAAACGAGAGAGAGCTAGCAACAGCATAACTATGATAGAACTTCGCGTGTCCTTAATTTAATTATTTTTAAATTTTATGTACAAAATTTAAAGAAACATAAATTTTAAATTAAATAAAATATTCAAAATTTGTATTCTTTTTTTATTTGTTCACACTTTAATTTTAGAACCTATTTATTATTATTATGAACTTTTTTTACAGTGTATTCACGTATGACTCTTTTTGCTCTCTCTCTTTCTCTCAAAGCAACGAATTCTTAATACACTGACATAAAAATAATTTTAATTTTCAAATTTAAAGCATTTGTGGCAGAAGTATTTAGCTGACCAAGTTTTAGATTGTTTCTTTTTTAACACACATCCGTACAAACACACACACACACACACTTGCACACACAGGAGATTGCTCGCTTTTCCAACTCTTTGATATTGAAAATAAAATCACATTGTTTCGAGCCTTTTCTGGATGCGCAATGAAAGCATTTTCCTCAAGAATTTAAATAATTTTTTATGCCAATTTTTGGCCGTGTTTCTTATTCAAAAGTAATGAATATCAAATTTTTCATAGGTTTTCTCCTATCCGAGCTTTTCCTGCCTCTTGCTTATCTTTTTCATATTCAAAAAATCTGTCTAATTAATTGACTTATTTATTTGTTCTTTTTTTGTATTTTCTTCGGCTGCACTTCACTTGATTAAGTGGCACCGAGGAAGTGGGTGGGTGGGTGGTTGAGTGGTTGGCCGAATTAGGGGTGGTAGGAGTAGGGGTTTTCCTGATAGATTGTCCGCACTTTTTGCGCAATTTTCGTTGATTTATTTAGCATATTTTGATTTATGTTTTTTAATTTCGCTCGAGTTGGAAAAATTGTCTGTTAGATGGAGGCGCGCTGTGTTGTGAGAGAAGGGGCGGGGACAGGGACAGGGACAGGGGTCAGAGGGAGTCTATCTAATGAGTCTGCAGCTAATAAATTTGCATTCGCCATGCATAATTTCTCAGAGGCAACACAAATGTCAAATAAATAAAAACAAGAAGAGAAAAACATTTCTCGAGTAGCTCGCATTTTCCTTTGAAATCGACGAAAAAATTAACGATAAAAAAAAAAAATTTTATGCACAATTTTTTGTAAATGTTGCTGGGAAATTACCAAGGAAAAACTAAAAAAAATATCAAACCGAATTTCTGTATAAGTTTCAATGAATTTTTTTCCAAAGAAAAATGTTGGCAAAACTTTTAATTTATGCTTGCAATAAATTTCTTTTTAAGTTAAACTATTTAATTGTTTTTTTTTGTTTTATCTATTTTTTAAAATATATTTTAATTTTTAATATATATTTTTTAATTGCTATAATTAATTAATTTTTAACATTTTTTTTATTTATTTCGACTTTTTGTAATTTTTTGCCACATTTATTCGTAATAAAAGTGTATTTTTATTGCGAATTTTTGTTGGTTAATTATCATGTTTTGATCACATATTTCTTGTCTTTCTCTGTCTACTTTTTTATTACATTTATTTTATATTTTATAATTTATTTTTGTGTATTTTTCAAGCAATATTTAATTTTGTTTTTAACATTTCGCCTCTTTTATTTAATAATTTTTAACACATTTATTTTTTTAGCATTTTGTTTTTCAACTTTTTTCTTTATTTAAAAATTTATTGAATTATTAAAAAACGAACAAATTAAATATTCTGCCTAAATAAATATCATTCACTGTGAATAAATGTGCACAGAATGTTGCACTTTTATGTGATTCGATTTTCTATGATAATATTTTGCCTTTTGTTGCTGTTGTTGCTTTTGCTGTTTTGTTATTGTTGCCTTTGTTGTGTAAACACTTTTGAGCCGCTTGCACAGTTTGCCACACTTGATGTTTATTTGTTGTTGTTTTTTTACTATTTTTGTTTTTATTTATATTATTATTATTATTATTATTATTTTTGAACGCACTTCGAGCGTCGCTTTTCTTTTGCTTTCGGCTTCTGATTTACTGCTGCTGTCGATTTTGTTGTTGTTGTTTTAGTACTGCTGTTGCTTTAGCTGCGACTGCTGCTCTTGCTGCGGCTGTTGCTGCTGCTGCTGTCGTGAGTCGTTTGGCAGTCGGTTTATAACTGGCACGAGCCGCTGCCAGCGAAGCAGCACGAACCGAATGCGGACAGACCGTTCGCGCTGGCAGCGACGCCGGCAGCGAGAAAGTTTGCGTTTGCATTGTTGCAGCGCCGCAGCGTCAGCAGAGGCAGCCAAGCGAATTTTTCAGCGCTGTAAAATACGTGTGCGTGTACGTACGTGCGAGTGTGTGTGTACTTATGTGTGGAACTGTGGGGGTGGCTGCAAGCTGTCAAGCTGTTATGTTAAGTCTGTCTGTTAGCTTTAACAGAGCGTCGCCTTGGCTTGGCTTATCAGTTGTCGCTGTTGCATGTCAGCGCTGGCGTCGCTGCCAACGTCGCTGCCAGCTGCTTTCATGTTAAAACCAATTCGTTTGTCATTTGTTTAATGACACAAATATTTGTGCAAACTGTGAGTATCTGTGTGTGTGTGTGTGGAACACAACTCATTTTCAATTTCCATTTTCTTTTTGCCCATTTATTGTAATAATTTTGTCTGCTGTTGTGTTTTATTTTTGGCGTCATAAAAGTTTTCCGACTTGTTTTCCACGTTGCCTGGCGGCTACCCTAGCTTCTTCCTCTCCTCCTCCTCCCCCTCAACTTTGAGTGTTGCAAAGTGTGCTATAAATTTGATTACTACATAATAGCCCCCAATAATAATGCGACTAATGACAATACTCTGCCAGGTGCTGAAAGTGGGTGGGGCTAAGCTTTTTGTTATTTGTGTTTTTGTTTGTGTTTTCGTTTTACTTTGCCTTTCAGGCAAATTGAATTCCATTTGATGACTGTTAAATTAAGTTGAAATGTTCTGTTGCCTTGCGTCTCCATCTCTAGCCGCTGCCGCTTCGGTAACTGTAACAAGGACGTAGAGACTAGTGAGAGGCGGTAACAGCGCTCAAATTTCACAACCCTCGCAACAACAACAGCAGCAGAAGCAGCAGCAACAACAATGTAAACAACTAAATAAGGAAGTGACACCGGAAGACGCTGCTGCTGACTGCGCTGCCAGCAGAGTCGCGTGGCTGGCAACGCGCGCGCGGAATGCGCAAAGGAATGCTACATTAAGCTGGCAGCTCCTGCGAACGCTAACAGCAGCCCAGGGCAAGAATCACTCAAAGCCGGGCAACACAGAAAGCGACAGCGAAAGAGCCGAGCGCGTTTACGAGAGCTAACGCAGCGTTGGCTAGTTGAGTGCAAAATGCGCGCTCTCACGTTCTCTCTCTCTCTCTCTCTCTATCTTTTACTCTCTTCGCTGCCGCTGCTCTCGCTAGCAAAGTGCCAACGACACCGGCCGGCTGAAACTAGTAAGAGCCACAGTGAAGCTTCAGCTCGACAGCTTCCCAGACCCACCCTCTCTGGGCCCCCTTGGCCCACTCCGCCACGCACTTTGCAGTTTAACCTATAAAAATACCGCACAAACAGCGGCGACAGCAGCAGGTTTGCGACTGCTGCAGCAGCCGTAACAGCAGCAGCATGTAAAATGTTGGCTCTGGTGCTGCTGCTGCTACTAATGCAGTTGCTGCTCTCCGTCTCTTTGCGCCTGTTACGCACGCAACGCAGTTGCCAACACACACACACAGACGCGCGCGCAAATACGCGAAGCGAGCGTCGTTGCTCTGCTTTTGCGACTATTGCTGTTCTTCTTCTTCTGCTTCTTCTTGTTATTGGTGTTGTTGTTGTCAGTGCCGTTCATTTATTTGATTTTGTTGTGATTATGCGCAGTGCATGGGCGTCAGCGTCAGCGTCAGCGCTAGCGTCGGCGTCGCGCTGTACCCAGCGACCCATGGAGGGCATTGAGTACTTAAAAACAATAACAACAACATGAACAACATATAAAATATGCAATCTGAGCGGGAGGATGCGACCTACAGATACCCTAGCAAACCGTTTTATACAAAATATTTAAATTTGAATAAGAATATATTGAGCAAACATAAATGAATTAAAAAAAATATATATTAAATAAATTTACAAAAATATAAAAAAGTGAAAAATTAGAATAGAATTATATATATATTAGGTCCGACACCTGCCGTGTGACCTGATTGACCTTGGAAGCTTGATGTATGTACATATTTTACTTAATGATTAGCCATATGGTAAGATGAACTTAGTTTTCTAGATAGCTGCTTCCAAAAAAATCGAACTAATACCAAAACTGTATACTATATACTATGTAGTTCATATAGATAGAATCAGTATATAGCGGAACTATTTTTAAAAGTAACTTTTGTATACGCACTGCCCATACCCTGTACTAAGACCCCCTTTGCGATTTGGTCACGTAGTGGCAGCGGGAGAGAGAGTAGCGGAGGCAGGCAGAGGGGCGGACATGTGGGCGGAGGCAACGACACTGACAGCCATTTCTATGGCTCTGTTTGCTGTGGCTGTTGCTTCGATGTTGGCTCGTAAAAACTCATTGCCAGGCGCTCAACTGGAAATGCGGCACAGCCAGAGGCTGCAGGTGTCTGTCCAGTTATATATACACACACAGAGACATATCTATGTATCTATCTAGATACTTAATTAGCGGCTGGCAGTTTAATAAATGATGTGGCAAGAAGGCCTCCTCCATGTGTTAGGATTTGAAGCAGGTTTTAATTGTAAGCCCAATACGCACGAACATGCAGGAATATGTATATATATATAAATATCAATATGAATTTTATCAACGCCAAACACTATCAATAGACATACAGCAATCTCAATGCTCTAGACCACAGCCTGCCTCCGATTGGCATCATAACGTATGGAGAAGTTGTCGAATTTGTGCACAGGAATCTCCTTGGTGGGCGTGAAAGCGGCGTGCTCAATGACGGCCTTTTCGCTGCCATAGCAGAGCAGCCAGAACTTGACCGTATTCAGCTTGGGCAGCGTGCCCTCCAGCTCACCTATCACAGTGCCACGATCGGTGTTCATCACCCAGCCGCGTACTTCGTTCAGCAAGGCCAGTGAGCGAGTTGCCTTGCGCATGCGGACGCCCTGCACTTCGCCAAAGACCTCAAAGCCGCAAGTAAATAACTGTTCGTCAGCTGTTTGCATACTGATGAGCACAATGTGATAAGAGATTTTGTATATCAAGAAATTTTATTACTTTCTAAGGCTCTGTATTCGCCTACGGTCATAAAAACATGATCGAATTCAAATCATCGAACTCCCAAATAAAGTTTCAGCGCTTGCTGCGATCGAGTCAATTTTTTCAACCAATTCAAAATATCTTTCTCAATAGCTTTTTCTATCCTTACTGCAAATATCTTTAAGATAAGAAAAGCTACCATTGCACTCTTACAAGTGGAAGTCTTACGCTTATTTTCGTAAGTCAACATCTCGAATCTTTTCTTCGATTTTCTTTAGCTTTAAGCCTTACATTGATCATCAATCTGACAATTGGTCAGTGAGCCCAAAAGGTTTCACATCTGAAAACGTTGAAGGAAACTACCCTTAGTCGAAGTCATGTATATCCGTGTGAACTGCGAAACTCTCATGGAGGCTGGATGCGAAAAGCTGCAAGTCGGCTTCTATTGGCAGCACCCTCCTAGCTAATCACATTGTATCTATTGTATCGCCTTATATATAGGATATCAGCGTTGGGGACTCATAAATCACATGCCGCACACAGAAGGAGACACACACACACACACACACACACAGGTTCATCTCATGGCAATCCAATCAACTGGCAATGCCACAAAAAGTTAACAACAACCACCGTCTTGCAAACGCGCCACCCTGCCCTTGGCTCTCCTGCCTTCGCTATTGCAAAACAATAACTAGGCGAGATAAACAGACAACATTTGGCGGTAATGCAAACGTCGCTGCTGACGACGATTCTATGGCAAATATTTAATATGGCATTTATGGCGAGAGCGGGCGGGCGGGTGTTCGGTTGAACGGTCGAGCCAAGACTGGGCAAAAAGAGGCCGGTGATAAATGACTACAGCGACGGCGACAACAACACTGTTGCCCGCCACCTTTCCCTGCGCAAAGGCAGCGCAGCAGCAGTAGCAGCCAAAGCAGCGACGTGCTCATTCAAATGTAACAGCACGAGGCGCTGCCGCGTCCGCTGTCGCTGTCGCTGTAGCTGCCTTTCGTTGAGCCGAAGGTGAGCAAGCCAAATCAAACAAGCCGAAGCGCAAAAAAACAAAATAAATAAACAATGCTTAAAAACGCAACGCTTCAAGGGATTTCGCTGCTGTTGCTGTTGTTGAGCAAACTTGGGTTTCAATTGCGACGCATAAAACTCGACTTGAACTGAACGAAAAGCAGCGAAGAGCGAGGTCAGCGCAGCAGAGCAGCGAATTCGAGAAAGATAGCGAGAGCTGAGCTTAGGGCGAGCTGTTAACCTTAACAACAGCAGCAGCCAGTCGATCGCCATTTAACAGCTGCATTTTCAAGCTAATTGCTGTTAAATTACGAGCGAGGTCAGCGCAGTACTGCTGTTAACAGCACGAGAGAGCATTTGCAAGCTTCGCTTAAGGCTGCTAACTGCTCTTGCAACTGTTAAATCAGCAGCTGTGCTACGCAGCTTTAGTTGTTTGTGATACGATTCCGGAATGCCTTTAGAAACGAATTTCAACAAGATCTCACGTACGCACAAATAACAACAATATAGACGAAAAGTACAGTCAACAACAATGTCTACATATAGGCATAGACATATATATATTTTCTAATTGAAATGCAAATGAAATACTAAATACTAAAATTAGCTTAAATAGAAAAGTGAAGAGGCAGCACACAAACAACAACAGCAGCAACAAATCGACAACAAAATACAAAAATCAAAGAGGAAAATAAAAACCAGCTGAACGATAATTCAAACGCAATATGTAAACACTTCAAATCTGGGAACTGAAAAGACAAAAATAACAACAACAACAAGAACTATAAATGCAAATGGTGTCTAAGAAAAATGTAAAGAAAGAATATAAAGACGAAGTAGTAGCAGTAGCAGTAGCAGCAGCGACAGCGACGCAGCTGCAACAGCGCAGCTGGCCCCGGCGCTTGCAATGGAGTGTGCGGGCGTCGAGTTTTGGGGTGGGAGCGAGAGACGTCGCCTGGTTCGCTGCTGCGTTTGGTATTTCGCTGCTGAGCGTCTCGCTTCGTCTCGTCTAGACTTGGCTTGGCTTTTAATGCACACTCGTACACACACACATACACAAGTGAAAACTGACTGTTTGTTTACGCGATGACACAATTCTAAATCTGTGTTGGTCTCTCGCTCACACTCACACCACGTATTAGTATGTATGTATGCGTGTGTGGTTATACTGTTGTTAAATTAAGCTTTGTTTGCTAAGGTTCGAGGTTTACGGTTTGATTTCATTTAAGGATTTGATTAAGATGCAGGACACTGGGAGACTACAACTTAATATTTAACATTATACTCCAATTAAAGGTGCCTGATAGGCCTTTTAAATCTTATTTGTTCTGTGGATTGATTACGTATATACCAACTACTGTGAATATATCCAATTGAGTGACTTTTCAGTCAATCTATGACATATACATGTATTTTTTATTCACTCCGATTATTGCTTACGCCACTTACGTACTTGTCAGCTTAAAAATTGAGCGTTGTCAACGCTAAAGCGAAACTCACCTGCAACGAGAAAGAGTGAGAGAGAGAAGGCTGATTAACAAATGCAGCGTGAACACAACTTGAATGATAAATCAACTAGCTAAAAATACAACAAAAACAATGACAAGAACAGCAGCAGCAAAGGCAACGCCAACGTCAGCGCCGGCGTCGACGCCAGCGGCCAAAAAAGGCAAACAATTGCAAAAATCTGCATGTGGCTGCCGTGCGCGACGGCCAAAGCGAAGCTAAAAATATTTCTGTTCGCTTAGATATCCAAAATTAGCAGCGACGCGTCTCATCGTAGCGACGTCAGCAGAGCAAGAGAGAGAGCAAGCGAACGACGGCAATGGCGACAACGCCGACGTCACTGTTGAGCCGTTGCGTTGACGCGCGTCGCTGACGGTTTGCGGCTGCGGCAGCTGGCAGCAGGTTGGCAGAAAGTCTGCCACTGATAACGGGAAATGGCATGCCAACACCAGCAACTGCTCCCACCACCTCTCACTCACACAGCCGCACTCACATTTCTCACTCTCTGATTCTGTTCGCTCTCGCCTACATACGCTCTTTCTCTCTATTCATGCAGTTCTGGGCAACGCTCACGCCAAAATAAACAAAACAAATGTAAAGTGCGCCCCTTTGCGACGTTATGCTACGACCATCCCTGCCCCCACCGCCCAGCCCTCATCTTCATACACTGCCCGATGCCGAACCAGCCATGAAAATAAATATGTGGGCATAACAAAAATGAAAATTGTACGCGAAATGTGCCGCAAATGGCAGCAGATTTGCCATTAAAATGTACACAGAGGCCTTATGTTATACACTCAGAACACGCCAGTGGGTGAGAGTGAGCGAGTGAAAGAATAGAGCGCGAGCGAGAGTGAGTGAGTTAGCGCTACAAAACATAGACAAACAGTCGTAACATAATAAATGAAAGAAATTGACAAAGCACTAAAACTGCGGGGCGCTGTTAAAAATCTGTTAACTAACAGTCACGTATTTTAAGTAGTCTGTTAAGCTTTGCAACAGCAATTTGTGCTTCAATAAATTAATTAGAGGTTTTTAGTTCAAAAGTTTAGAAAAACAACGTTGTCTGTTAGCTGCAATATACATGTATATGTTTATGAGATTATCATTTGCCAAAAATATAATAGATATTTCTATTTGTTTGACTGCTTTTGTTCCAGCATTTCTCTGTGATTTATGAAACATTTCAGAATCTACGCTAAAAAAACACGTTTACGCACTATATTTCGATTGATTAAGAGCTTGAACTAAATCAGTTGTTGTTGTTATTGTGACTGTCAAACAGCAGAAGTGCTGCATCTGTTTTATAAATTAATTAAAATATTTTACACGTAACTGCAAAAATAAATCATCGACAATGGCGAAAACCAGGAAAAAAATCATGCAAAACTTACTTAAAAAAATATTCATAGTAGCGGTAAGTTGCATAGAAACCAGGCAACATTATATATTTATATATTTATTTACTTGATTTAAGTGAACTTATTCAAGTGAACTGCATAGTAAGCAACAGATATACTTATGCATGTATATATTAGTTATATTGAGAGTATGGCAAAAATAATTATATAGAGTATATAAAGTAGACACGGGTAGAGCGTAAAAGGCAATATAAAAATGCAAGTGATGGCCGACATCAGGGACGTGCTGACAAACTCAATTAGCCAGACAACAAGAGTTGGCCAATAGATGACAGCAACAGCAAATAAAGTGAGCCGCGAGCGCATTAAATGTGCAAAATGAAAATTCCATCATCGAAAGAGCAAAATATTTGAACAATTGATTTTTGCTTTTCCAGCTATAATAGTTGCAGTTATTTGTGAAAGCCACAAACAGGTGCACGAAGAACGCAATTTAGATGCAAAGCTAAATACATTTTCGTCTTAAATTAGCAAAAGGTTAAACGAAACAAAGTAACTTAGTCAGCAATTAACTTAAGTATTCCACATTACGTATACGCAACGCGTTTCAGCTGCAATTCATTATTATTCATATATATTTTATATTTAGAATTCTAACTATGCTCTACATTAGGAGCTTTGAGCTATAAAAAGAAAATACATCTTACGTATATTTAATTTGATTTCTGAGCTCTTTTCTTTGTGCATATTACGCATACGTCGTGTGTCACGGAATAATTAATCCAAATACAAATTCTAATATAATAATTAGAATAAGCATATTTTTGTGCTAGTTCCATCTGCCTCATTAAAATTTCTTTTCCATATACATGACACGATTTGCAATCAACTTAATTGAATTTTGCTTTTGATGCACGGCAAGCGCTGATGCCGCTTTAAACAAGCTGCAGCTGCGGAAGAGCGAACGAGCGAAAAAGAGAGAGAAAGAGACAGTGATAGAGAGTAAGAAAGAGACTTAAGGAATGCAGCAATTGTTATACCCATCAATACAGTAGCGGGTTATGCTCGACTAGAAAGATAACAAAAATGAAACTTGGTAAAGGAAAAGTTTTCTATAAGAATTTTCCAAGCAAAACTTGGCTGATCAGCACTAAGA